GTGTCGATATTTCTTCTCTTCGTAGTTGATTTAGAGCGTGACAAGACAACCGGTTGGTTTGGTTGGAGTTGGTTTCTTCCTTCGAGGAAGGCTAAGCAGCTTTTACTTTATTTTTTTTCTACTTTTGTACCCTTTTCTGGGATTTTCTTTTTATTCTGTAATTTGAATTTGAATTTTTAATAAATAAAGGCTTCACCGCGTCTTAAAAAAAAAAAAAAAAATTCGAAATTTTTTAATTTCAAAAATGGCAACATATGAAGAAATAAAAAACGAATTAAATGGCGCAAAAAAGGAGCATGAGAAGGCGAAGAAGAAGTTGGAGAGGTTGGACGATTTGAAGAGGAGGAAGGTGAAAGAAGATTACGAAGGTGAAAAGGAGGAGTTAAAGAGAAAAGAAGAATAATTAGAGAAGAGAAGAAGAAGTGGGGAGATCAGGTGGTAGAGTGGGGGAAGGCATTAAGAGAGTTCGATGGGGGGAAGGTAATGAACAAATTGCATAAAAATTTATTTTTTGTTCATTCCATTTCATTTATTTATTTATCTATTTGATATATTATTCACAATTTTAACTTGCCCTTTCCCCTTATATTCCTTGATTTTCTTTCTTATTCATTGCCTCAATTTCATACTTATATCCCTAAACATTTCTTTTAATAAGGTATGTATCTACTAGTGTGTTTTAGTTCTGAAACAAAGGGAGTTTCAGGGAAACAAATATGTATGTTACATAGGCTCCTTATGACATTGACTAGAAGTCTTGTTTTATTCTTTAAAATTAACTTTTTCATTATCACTATTTTTTGTTCTATCACTCAAACATATAACTTTTGTTGTTTTAAAAATGTTTTACTTGCTTCTATATATATCATTTTTTAACAAAGATTCGTTTGAAGATATTAATGAAGAGCAAATGCTTAAAGGTAACACTTAAATTTATTTCTTATTTTTGCATTGTTTATTAATCTGATTTTAAATTCACTAGCCAATTTTTTTCATTTGATGCATACATGAAGATATCAAGAGACATTGTATTAAAGAAGAGCTGATGTCAAATTCAGGTTTGAGTATAAATAATATTTAATTTTTTGTTCCTTTTATTCATTTATTCATACAGTTTTTACCTGTAATTATACAGATATATCATTTGATCTTTCATTTTACAAAAGAATTACCATAGATGGATTCATTCCAATAAAAAATACATTTAAGGAAGCTGATCTTCAAGAATTATTTAGTTTTAATGATGAAATTCTTATCCGTGGCAAGATGAAGAAATTAATTGATGAACTGTATCATAATGCTATTCTTAAACAAGCAAAAAATGAAAATATAACAATGAAATATGTTTTGAAGGGAGCTGGAGGCGTTGGAAAAACCACAACACTACATACCACTGCCTGTGTCGCTCATGCTGCTGGATGTCTAGTTATGTATATCAATGCTAAATATTTCACTGATGGTACAGGTTGGATCATTGTTAAGATTAATGTGTTTGTTCAACGATGGCTTGAATATACCAAAAACATTGATCTATTAAAGAAAATTCTATCATCTTAGCCAAATTTCATTTCATTGTATGATGTTGCATTTGAAACAGCTAATGATAAAACTGGTAAAGCAATTTAAGCCTTTTCTGCATTAATTACAGATCTTTGTTGTGTTGAATATAGATCAGTATAATTCATTTTTGGTAAAACATAAATTGATCTTGTAAAAAGATAAACCACTACAGATTATACAACCCGAATATAATCCTATTGCCAATATATTTTCTGATTAGAATAATTTCAACACATCACGAGGAGCTGTATATATGCTTTTACATCTTCATATCATGGTGACAAAACAGCAAATGATGGAAATTCAATGCTTTATGAAACAATTCAACCATATAATAATTTTGAATGGAATAAAATTACTACTCATTTTTGCAATAAATTACCTGATAACATTAAATTTTTAAGGAAATTTGTAGGTAGCATACCAAGAGAGTTTATGCGTTTCTTTAAATTTTGGTCTGAATATGGATCTGAGGGATTAGATACTGTGAAATTCCAATATTTTGAGGATGCAAAAAGATATTACATAACAAGAATACACAGACTTTTGGATAGAGAAAGATTAGGTGATGAATTCAAGGATAGTGCTATGTTTGCTGCAAAGGTTTTTATGGGAAACAAAGTAAGTGAAGTACCTGGATCTTGGGATAGTTCTGGAATGGTAATTCCAGATGGTTATTATTATAAGTTATGCTGTCCAGCAGCAGAATATTCAATTCTGACAGCTTTTGATGACTTTTATGCAAAAGTAGTTGTAAAAATATTAAAAGAAGATAGTGTTATGAGTTGGCGTGTACTAAAGCGTTGTATTCAATATTGCTTTAGAATGGCAGCAAGGAGTGTAACCCTTATAGAATTTTTATACACAGATTTAACAATAAAATCTTGACTCAAAAAGATGATAGTGGTTGTCAAAAATGTTATAGTTCATGATGAAATCCCTCAAATTTTACCAAAATTCAATCCAGGAATATTCTATGTTTGTTGGAGAGATGTAGCTGTAATTGATTTTTTCATATATAGCATTAATGGCATAAAAATATTTTTACAAGTATCAGAATCATGTTATAGAGAATATTATACTAAACTTCCAGATCTTTTTGTTAATAACAATGTCCCTATTCATAATCTTTCAATACACTATTTCTTTTCAAAATGCATCAATTCAACATCAATACCTCAAAATTCTTTAGGAAAAAATGAATATTATGTTTACTTAATTACTAATAATAGTGAAATGAGAAAAACAATTAAAACTTATGATAAACAAGTTTACAGTCAACCCTTGATATAACGAATTTTATGTCCTGAACTTCAACTTCGCTATAGAGCTATAGTGAATTTT